ACTTTTTAAAAATATTTTATTTATTTATTTTTAGAGAGAGGAGAAGGGAGGGAGAAAGAGAGGGAGAGGAACAACAGTGTGTGCTTTGCCTCTCGTGCACCCTACTGGGAACCTGGCCTGCAACCCAGGCATGTGCCCTGACTAGGAATCGAACTGGCGACCCTTTGGTTCACAGGCTGGCACTCAATCCACTGAGCCACACCAGCCAGGGCTCTAGCCCCTTGTTTTACAGTGGGGTACTCTGGGGTCTCTAGGGGGAGTTTTATGTGATTGCAATGTTCTAAGAGACTTGATTGAGGTTGGGGCTTAGTCTCAGGTCAGAGCTGAGGTTCACATGGTAGGTCTCTATGGCTAGTTTGCGGTGAATGTATGGCAAGGGTCATTCTATTTGTGGATGGGGGTTCAGTCTTCGGTTGCTCTTGCGAGTCCTGTGTATGAGGGGTTGATCTCTTTCTGTGCAGTAACAACCCTGAACACTCTGTGAGAATCCCTCCTATACCCCGGGGCTCAGCTGTGCCAGAGCTGCCCCACTCCCACATCCCGGACAGCAGAAAGCCAGGCAGGAGCTCAGACTGCCTCTGCCGGTGTATGTGTGGCCACCTGGGCTATGCAAGTCTTGGCTGGAAAGGACCTCATCAGGCATCAAAGGAGAAGAGGGGGAGAGGAATCCCATGGGCAGGTTAAGGTAGTAGGCCTGTGCCTTCTGGGGTCACAACCTTCCTAGGCCAAGTGAGCACGGCACCAGCTCTGCCCAGAGAAAGCGCTGCCCGAGCTGGGGCTGTCTCAGTTGGTGACGGGGCCCATGGGGAAGCAAGAGGCCTGCGCGGGTGACAGTCGAGAGGCCTCCATCACCTCCATGAGAGGTTCTCATTTCTGCGGTCAGTGATGGAGAGGAGGGGGCCGGCCCGTCCATCATCCACCTGGACCTGGCAGTGTGTCCTCTGTGGCTCCTGCGCCAGAGGAGTGAGGGGCAGCGGCCGTCTGGACTGGAATCAGCCCTGTGGTTCTTCTGCCCAGCCCAGTCTGAGGCGGGGCCGGAGACTGACACCCACGGAATCCCTGGGCCGTGACCAGGGCTGGGTGGCAGCAGGAGGCAGTGAAACGGGATGGCTCATGCTCTTCCACGGGTAGAACGGCTGCCTCCAGAGGCAACGAGGGCGCTCTCAGAGGGTGGAAGTTTCCTCGGTGGATTTCATTCATTCATGCATTCATTCATTCACTCATTCATTCACCCATCTAATCATCCATCCAATATTTTGCAAGCATCAAACTCATGCCAGGTGCTGGACTAATTGATTTAACTATGAATAAGATGGAAATGGCCTTTGGCTCTTGGGAAATAATGGGAACTATAGGGACAGAGTAGTGGGGGCCATGACCAAGACCTGGCAGTCAGAGAAGGCTTCTTGGAGGAAGCCACATTTGAAGCTGACGCCTGAAGGATGAGGAGGACTTCAGACAGAGGAGGCAGCCTGTGTGAGGGGCTGGAGAGAGATCAGCCAGCCGGGGGGACCAGCGATGAGCCCAGTGAGGCGGGGCTCGGTGAGGGGCAGAGCTGAGAGTGGGATCCACGCTTGTGTCGCATTAGGAGGTCTGAGCTTTCATCCCAGGAGCCACAAGGAACCAATGCAGGGCTTTCAGTGAGGCGCTGATGTGCTCAGGGGTGTTTCTGCTGGTTTTCCCAGAGGCAGACCTGAGACAGGGATTTGAGGGCAGCTAGTTTATGTGGGAGGTGATTCCAGAAAATATCAGCAGGAGAGTGGGGAACTGAAACAGGGAGGGAGTCAGCCAAGAGAACGTGTGTGGTCAAGCGCCACCTCTGTGGGTACTAGAGCTCAACTCAGCCGAGGAACTCCGGGAGCCAGCACAGAGTTCCCTTTGGAGTTATTGCCCTCGAGGGTGGGGGGAGCTGGAGCATTTATAGACCACCTCCGCTGGCCACTGGAGACTGTTCCGAGCTGGGTGGGGCGTGGACACTTCCCCGCATGGTGGCCTTCCAGTGGGCAGGCAGAATGGACTGCAGTGTGGGTCTCTGGGCAGAGATGCAGGGGCTGGCTCAGCGTGGGGCCCCCGGGGACAGGGGCGGGGTGTCGCTGCCACTGTGGTTATGAGGTGGAGGGACAGGGAGGGGCAGACAGGAGCCTGGAGGTCAGTGAGGTGGCAACAGGAAGGCTTATCCAAGCAATGGATGGTGGTAGCCTGGGCTGGAGTCCTGTGCTTATGGGCAGAAGGGGACAATGTCAGGGTGCAGAACGGGCTGGCCTTGGTGACAGATGTGGGGGAGTGAAGAGCGCTAGGGGACTCAAAGCCCCTCAGAGCCACCGGGGGCTCCTGCACAGATGTGGGGGAGTGAAGAGCGCTAGGGGACTCAAAGCCCCTCAGAGCCACAGGGGGCTCCTGCACCTCCCCGGGGCGCTCCCTCATCTGCTCACTGCTGCTCCTCCCACATGTCTTCCGCTGCTTACATGCGTCTGAGACACTGACACAGGCCCCAGTGAGGGCAGGGGCCACAGCCCAGGGACCGTGGAGCATGTGTGAAGGGAGATGAAGGGAGATGAAGGTGCTGTGGCAACCGCTAAAAACACAAACTGGGCTGCTGCTAGTGCCAGCCCCCAGTCTTGAAAGGGATCACAAGGGTGTGTGTGTGTGCATGTGTGCATGTGTGTGCATGTGTAGGAATGTGAAAATGAGAGAAGAGTAATCCAGCTAAGCCCCTACCCTGAATGTCCCCCCCCCCCCCGTATCTTCCATTACGCCCACATCTGTGTCCCATCTGGCCTCATGAGAACAGATGCTCTGTATGGCTCCTTCACTGGCCCCCGGACCAGCTCACGGCAGGTCCTCAGTCTGCTGAATGGTGGAACTGTGAATGGTCCCTCCCTAGGACCCCGCTTCACGTAGGGGTGGAGGGAGGTGCCAGGGATGGTGGATTGGTGATTCTAATGACGAGGGCCCCCAAGGGTGGGTGGGATGTGGTTGGAAAAGGGGATGGGGTGTTGCGACAGGGAAGGGGGAGAGGATGGGGCGGTGTGACCAACCAGGGTTTGTAGTTGCCAGCACTAGAACCCAAGGCTGGATGAAATGAGTAGGAAAAGAAACCAGTGACGGATGGGAGGTGGGGTGTGGGTGCCCAGCTCCCTCCAGCCCCAGCTGTGGCACCTCTGAGGTCCGAGTTCCTCATTGGCTCTGGTTGCCTGCAGCAGAGACTTGCCTGCTGATGCACATTTTAGGGCCCCCGCCCCTTCTCTGGCTCCTTCGCCTCCCCCTCCTGGAGCTTCCTGGGACCGCCTCCCATGCAAGTGGCTGCCCACCAGCAGACCCGGCTGTGTGTCCTTTCCTCATTATGGGAGAGGTTGGGGGAGGAAGGACCAGGCATCCTCAGCTCCTGGGTGGGAGGGGTCGTGCTCTGGTTCCCACCAGGACTCCTAGGCGGCGGCGTGTCACCAGGGTCCCAATGGGAAGCTGTCTCCGTCTGTTCGAGCTGCTGTAACAAAGTCCCACAGACTGGGTGTCTTTTCCACAACAGACATTTATCTCTCACAGTTCTGGAGGCTGGAAGACCAAGGCCGGCGTGCCAGCAGACTCAGCGGGCTGCTCCCTGTTCATAGATGGTGCCTTCTCGCTGCGCCCTCACATGGCGCAAAGGGCAAGGGGTCTCCCTGGGGCCTCTTTTGTAAGGGCAGTAATCCCTTGTACTCTCCTCCTGAGGGCCCCCGCCTGTACCACCAGTGAGGGGGCGCATCCAGACCGTAGCAGAAGCCCATGGGGTATTCAAATGATAATAATTTGGGGGGGGCTGTTTATAAAGGGCCTATCTACAAAGGTGTAGGGGCGGTGGGGAGGCATTAGGGACAGTGCAGGGGCTCGGGATTCATTGCTGTAGAGCTGTTCCCGCCCCGAGGTCTGAAGGCATGAGGGAAGGGGCGGTGCCTGGAACCCAGTGAGAGAGAGAGCCAAGCAGGGACCCCCGGAGAGGAAGAGGGACACAGCCACCCGAAGGCCACCTCACAGAGAGACACTGAGGGGAGTGAATACCCGACGTCTTCCCCCTCTGCTCCCCCATCTCTTGCCCAGTGACAGAGTCAGACAGGGCAGCCCCCGGGCCAGAGCAGCGTGGAGCAGGGCACAGACAAGACCTGGGGGCAAATGGAAGAGATCTGGTAAAGCGGGGAATTTCCCAACAAATGAGGGGCCTCAGGTGTGACAAAGTGTCTCAATATCCACGTGGGGTGGAAACAAAGATGTCGCATTGAGTTCTGAGTTAGGGCTGAGGGCTCCAAGCGGCCCCTCAACAGGAGCAGGCCCCTCCTTCTCCTTGGTCACTTCCCGCTGGTTCCCCCATGAGCCAGCCTCTCTGAGTCCTCCGGTCCTTTCCAAAGCCGAGCTTGGGGCGGAGCCCAGGACTTGGGGGCACCTGGCTCTGCCACTAACTGCGTAACCATAGCAGTTAGGCAGATGACCTCTCAGGACCCTTTCATAGCACTGACCTAGAAAAGCTCCTGGCGCTCTGAGAAGGGAGTAAAACAAAGACTGTCCTTTTGGGGAAACCAAGGCTCAGGGAGCAGAGGGACTTGGTGGGGGTCACTGACCCTGTGGTCACTTCCCTGAGCCAGGTCTGCCACTGCCCTGAGGTGGCAGGGGACAGGGCGGTGATAGTTCCCACCCATGTTTATTTTCAGTTAGCGCCGCAGCCGGAGTGAATTTTCATGATTTCTCTTCTGCCCTTGTGTGTGTGTGTGTGTGTGTGTGCGCGCAGGGGGTGGGGGGTGGGGTGGCTCTGAACAGAAACATGTTAAGAGTGGTGGTTTTAAGCTGGCTTTCGGAGCTCGCCAGTCCCTCCTGCCCCACTGCAGGGCTCAGGGCCAGTGTCACTTTGGGACTTTGGACCCAAGGGGTCCCCATAAACCTCAAGGGGCTCAATTTATAGGGAGTTTCAAAGAGAGTCGTCAGGGCTGTGCTGCCGCCCTGAACCCCCCTCACCCCAGCCCCGCACGGCCCAAACCCAGCATGTCTAGGAGACTGCTCGGAACCCCACCACCCTGTCCTGAGGCCTGTGTCCCAGGCACAGGAGATGAAGACCGTTTCATTTGATGACAGACCCTGAGGCTCCGGTGTTTACTGCATACCAAGGCCAGGAAAACCCCCGACACCACCTTCTTTGTTCAGCCCGTCAGACAGGCTCTGAGCAAGTCAGAGTTTCCAAACTGACTGCCCCAGATCCGTCATGGCCTGCAGAAGACAGCCCCCTGGATGAGACACGTGCCCTGCAGTTCCCCATAGTCCTCACCCCCGTCCCCCTCCGTTGTCTCCCAGCGGGCAGCCGAATGTCCGTTGCCACTTATCACCAAGTCTATGCTGCTGTTTCTCAAATAGGAGAGCTACGGGGAAAGTAAAATATTTTGGGTCCCCACATTTTCAACAAAAGTGCCGCTGGGGGTACCCCCGTCCCGCTGTATGGGGTTGCTAGAGCAGAAGTTGATCTCCAGGGCTGTGTTTGGTCCCCATGCCATCCTCTGCCACAACTACCACCATCATAGTTGTCATCACGTCACGTTTATTAGTCCTCTGGCAGGTTGCATGCACAATGAGACAGGTCACGATAGCCCTTAGGTCACCAGAGAGGCAAAGGAGGCGGGCAAGAGGACGGCAAACAGGCCCAGTGGGGACAGAGGGGTTAGACCTACCACGATGAGCGGCTCACTGTGTTATAAAAAGCTGCGAGGGAAGCTCTTCAGTGACACCAAGCAGCCTGGAGGGGACGGCCTCCTGGCCTTCCGTGCAGCACCTGACCGAAACCCGTGTGGCCGAGACTGCAGCCCCAGCTCCTTTCCTGGGCTCAGGGACATTGGAAAGCCAAGGCTGTTTGGACAGGGAGACCCAGGACTGGCCTGTAAATTCAGCCGCCTCACTGAAGAAAAAAGGCCTCCGTGTTCCATCTGTCTAGTGGAGGCAGGAAGATAGACAGGCCCCGGCTCCCTGGGTGAGGACCCCTTCAGGCGAGGCACACAGGTCCCCTCAAGGCCCCTGGTTGTCACCATACCGCTCCACTCCGGTTTCCAGGAGGCTCCCCCAGAAGCGGTTGGGGAGCGTAATCCAGGCAGGTTCCCCCTGTCAGGTGAGGCAGGCATTTGGCATCGTAGAAGAATTTCAGCCTGCCGTGATTCAGGCTACACTCCACCTTCTGAGAGCCAGACTGTGGAGCCCGGTCGCAGGTGCCGAGAAGATCATCGTCCCAGCCATAGTCTGCGTCCCAGACCTGCACCCTCAGGGGCCCCCCTGTGGACAGGAGCACGTCCCCAAAGTCCAGCCGTGTCTTCCACTGGGGGTTGTTATTGTTCCACTCTGTGCCCGTCCTCAGCTCCTGGCCTCCAAAGAAAACCTTCACATAGGCGTCCGTGGCAGTAAATGTATCTCCCCACAGACCTGTTGCCTGGAAGTCCCTAACCACTAGCTGGGCCAGGCCCCTGTGCCGGGGACAGCAGCCCTGGCTGGTGACCGCCGAGCCGTGGCACACACACTGGCAGGGGTCGTTTTGGCTCTTCTGCTGCCCCGGGGGGCAGGGCCGGCTGCAGTTCTGCCAGCGGGCCCTGTGTGTCACATACTGGCTGACGGCCCGCTGTAGCGCCTCCCGCCGGGGGTCCTGTCTCCCCACCAGCACGTGCAGGGGCTCCAGGGTGTAGTCCACCAGGCCGGGGTTGTCCTGCAGTGAGGTCACCCAGGCTGTGAATTGCTCGGGCCCAGCGTGGTTCCCGAACAGAATGTCAGGCACGGAGGTGTGGTGGCCGCCTACAACCTCCAACTCGCGCTCCCGGTAGGCCTGGTGGAAGGAGGTTGTCATCTTGCTCTGCTTCTTCTTCTCTTCACAGGCCTTGAATTCTGCCGAGGAGCTGGCACGGCCGCCTATGCTGACCTCGGCCTCAACGGACAGGCAGTCCCCCACCCCATCGGCCGTGAGCCCGTCCAGGGTCAGCTCGCAGGTGTGCAGGGCGGTGATGGCAGAGATCCTGCCCCCCAGCTCCATGGAGCGGATGAAGTGGGTGCCGTAGTTGGAGATGAGTCTGAAGTAGTCGGGCTGGGTGGAGGCATTGAAGTGGGGGGGCAGGTCCCTGAGGGCCCTCTTGAAATCAGGGTGGAGTGGTGGAGAGTGCACCAGGTGAGAACTGCGGGGTCAGGGAGAGAAAAACGTCAGGTGGGCCCAGCAGCGGGGAGTCTCTGCCCCTGTCCGTGAGTCCCCCAAAGTTGCCCAACGTCACCTGTAAGCGGCAGAACTAGACCTGGACCAGGAAACCCCCTCTGCCTATAGCCCTGCAGTCACCTGGCTACTTTGTTGAGCCATTTTCGCTTTCCCTTTTCAGAATACAGATTTGTCTTTCCTTTTTGTTTTCTAATGATAAAAGCAGTGACACGGCACTGATGGTAACCCTTTGGCTTTGGACTCAGTCTGGTAGCCTTTGTCTCCTCGATTGGGCCCCACATGCCTAGGCTCCTGATGTCCCTGGCCATGCAGGCAGGAGGTGCCTTGTCTCACTGTGGGGGACTAGGGGCCTCCCAGTGTGAGAAGTCAGGGCAGGTGACTCGGGGTTGCCCTTGGAGACCATGCAAGTCTCAGGTGTGGGGCCTAGGTCCCTGAGGGCTGGGGCAGTGACTGCTCTTGCTCAGCTGGAACTGTCGTCCCAGTTCCCAGCTCAGAGCTTGACAAGGTAGGCATGGCTGGATGGAAGGAGGCCCGGCGATGGGAGGGGCCCAGCCAGGTCCCTGCCCACAGAAGGCTGGCAGTGCCCAGGAAAGAGGGGTCTGGTGCTCCGTAGGCCTGAAGACACCATGCTGGGGCTCTTGGCACAGCCCTGTCTCCTCTCCACCTGTGTCCTCCCTGGGCTCTTCCCGATCAGGGCCGCAGGGTGCTGGGCCCCTTGGTGAGTGAGAACCCGGGCTGTGGTTTCCTCCTGGTGGAAGCAGCCTCAAGTCTCCACTCTGCCATTCCAGGGCTCCCAGGCCACCCAGAACTCCCCACAACTTTTTCAAGTCCTCTCTGCTACCACTCCCTGCACTGACCTGTAGAGGCGACACTCCACTGAGTCGATGCTGAAGCTGTACTTGTCCTGTTGGCTTTTCTGGGCTGCAAAATTGGCCTCCTTGGAATGTGAGCCGGCCACTGCTACACGAGCACTGGAGCTGGGCTTGGGATTCACTTCCAGTCCTACCCGCCAGTCATTTTGGATGCTGGCAGCCGCATCCTTGGCCACATCCTCTATGGAGCTGGTCTGGGCCTTGGCCACATGGCGCCGGCAGACCGAGCTGTAGGCACGCCAGTCAGTGATTGCCAGGGGCAGGCGCTGGAGGGTGTTCTGTAGGCTGTTGCGGCAGAGGGTGCAGGTGCCGTCGGGCCGTAGGAAGTGCTGTGTGTCCACCAGGAAGGAGCCTGAGCGGCGGAGGCTGGTCACATCCACGCCCTCCCCTGCCAGCCATGAGCCAGGCACGAACTTGAGATTACGCCGCCGGCACTCGGATCGTGCGGCAGTATAGCAGGGGGCGGGGACAGGCGTGGGCAGCAGCAGGAGCAGGATGCCCAAGAGGAACACACGGGTGGCCATGGAGCTGTGGAGACAGTAGGTAATCAGGGCACATACAATGGGGAAGGAATGAGGTAGCTCTTAAGTCACTGAATGCCAGAGCTGGAGTGGCCTTTACAAACCTGGTCGCTTCCCACATTGTACAAATGGGCCTAGAGAGGAGGTCACATAGCTGGAAGGAGCCCCTTGCTAGGATGCCACTATTTAAGGCTTATTAGGGATCCGGATTGATGGCTCTGTCCCCACGGTGGCTGCTGGTGGGGAGGGGCTCTGTGTGCACAGGAGGGGAACAGAGAGTAGCTATAGCATAGTTTGGAACGGACCTGGGAACTCTGGAGAAGACTGGATTCTGGGGAAGTGCCATTCTGGGCCCGAGAACAGCCATGCTTTCCACACTCTACCTCCCTCATTCCCTCTGTTTCCCACTAAGTCTTTAACGTAAATGGAAAAGAAATGAGGTTGTGCATCCCTGTTATTCTCCTGTTTTCCATTTGGGGGAAGTCTAGAATAAAAGCTGTCCATAGGCTACGCCCTTAGATGCTGCGTGGGGAGCGGCCTCTAAGTTTGCTCTCCAAACTCCCCGATGCTCACGTCTCCTCGCTGGCCTCCCCTGCCGGACTCTGCGGAACTGTGGCATGGCTACCAGCTACCTTTTGCCCACTCTCAGACAACGATTAATTAGAAGGTTGCTCCTCATTTTGAAGTGTCCCGGAATCTCACCTGGGCCTGTTTATGATCTGGAGTCTCCTCTCTCTACGTCTGTGCACACTGAGCCCCTGGGAGGCCGTCCCGCTCCGGCCCCTGCCCGGGCCAGCCGCTTCTCTGAGACAGGGGCACTGCGGAGGGCAGGAGTTTGCCCTGTGTTCCAGCTGGCCTTCTGTGCTGCACCTGAAGGAGTGACCTGACTGGTGACTAGCGTGGCAGTCCCAGGGCAGGAAGTGGGCTGTAAAGGGAGTCTTTCAAAGGCCCTTGGATTATCCCATTCAGGAGGCCAGCTCGGCTCCTATCCTTAATCTGAGGAACTCGGTCTCCGTCTTGGCCCTCATCCTTTTATCTCCCAGGAAGCCTGTTTCCAGCTTTCTTAGAACTGTCAAGATTTTAAGGGGTCTTAGAGCTTTGTATTCTAACCTCCTAATTTTATATATGCGCACACTGAGGCCCCGAGTCAGCGCGAGGCTGCCCGGAGTGCACAGTGACGGGCGCCGTCTGGAGCCCACGTCTCCTGACAGCACTTCCTGCCCCACGGGCTCTTCCTCCTGAAGAGCAGCCCCGCTCCCAGGCCCCTCTGTCCCCGCCCGGGGACCCCCAGCCGCCCTGGCCCCCGCTTCCCCCGTACCTGGGGTCCCGTGTCCAGCCGCCCCACACAGACACTGCCTCGCTGCACAGGAGGCTCCCGAAGTGGCGGAGTCAGCCCCCCAGGCAGGCTCACCGCACTGCTCATCACCAGGCCACCGTTCATATCACCTCCACTTCCTGCCCTGCCCCCGGCTGTGGTCACGGGTCCCTCTCGCTCTCCGCCCTCCCACCAGCACCCACCCTGTCCTCACCTTCTCATCCGGCCCTGCTGACAGCCCTCAGGAAGGGAACCGTGAAGGCCAGAGGCCCATTCTCCGTGCAGGGCAGCCTGGGATGCGGGGGCCTGGGGCAAACAGGGAGGCTGAGCGTGGAGTGACACAGGGGCCCGAGGACTCCCATGTACAACTCTGGTGTCAACGAACAGGCCGGCAGGGGTGAGTTCCCTGCCTCTGACCCGCAGCCTGGCAGGGGTGAGACCTAAGAGGCAGCACAGGGAAGGAACTCGGAGCACGTGGGCTTGGGCCAGCTCAGTTGTGCACTGGCTGTGTGGCCCGGCAAGACTCTTTAGCCTCTCGGCGCCTCAGTTTCCTCAGCTCGGAATGAGAACAATAGTGTAGACCCCACAGGTTGTGAAGATTTGGGGGTCACTATGTGTGAAGTGCTCAGAACAGTCCCCGGCCCTCAGCCAGTGTTGCCACATGCCACCATTCCCTCCTTCCTGAGCAGTGTGTACGTGTCTGGGGAATAAACATTGTTCAGGCCTCCTTGCCCACTTCCTGCCCATGGCTACACCCCAGCCCTGCCCAGGCTCTAAGCCCCAAACACGAACCCCGGCACAGGGTCTCCTGGCCCTGTCTTGTGAGCAGAACCCGTGGCCACACTGGTCCCAGCCCCCTCCCCAGCCTTGTCCTGTGGTTGCGGCCACAGGGTGAGTGGGTAGACGTCCATGGGACCCTGCTGGGGAGAGAGATGTTGCTGGCCCAGGGTCGTCTTCACTGAGGTCATGGTGGGTAACGTTTCCGCTGGTTGATTGACTCACAGGACAATTTCTGGGGGGCAAAATCACACTGATCTGAGGGGGGACAGCTGATAAAGTGGGGAACTGTTGTCACAGCTTTACCCTCCAACTTCATCAGTGATGGGAACAATAGCCACAGACCCCAGACAATATGTGACGCCCTGAGGTGGTTCACACCTTGAGTTCACGTCCCCCTTGTGTTCCCTGCTCTTACGGGAAGAGGGACTTACACTGCCTTCTCGGCCCTGACCCATCTCCCCCACCCCCAGGGTCCCCCACCCTCTCCCAGAAACTGCGGCCTCCTGACCCCCTTCTAGTTCCTACCCAGGGCCTGACTCAGACGCCCGCGCTGTGGGGCGTGCCGTTCTGATTGCTCGGAAGACCAGTTTGAGGGGCGTGGAGACTCGGCAGAATATCTGTAGGAAGAAAGAGGTGAGGTGGAGGGAACAGGTTCCAGCCTCAGCTGTGCTGAGAACTTGTGGTGTGACTCTTGGTGTTAGAGTTCTAACCTCTTTCTAAGACAGGTTCCTCACCTATGAAATCAAAGGGAGGACCTTAGGATTTCTAAGAGTCCTTAGATTCTAAATGCTGAAGAGTACATTTAGCAGGTTTTGTGTGTGTGTGGAGCAGCTCACCTCCACGTGCTGGTGGGCAGCCCGTTGGAGGGCAGGGATGGCACCGAGCAGCAGCCGCTGGTCTCGGCCCGTGCGGCGGTGAGGCCGGGCACTGAACTGTGCTCCCAGCACAGCTTTTCCTCAGAAACACAAGTTGCAATGGCCAGATCCCATCTAATGGTTTATTGGCAACTTTACCGAGTTGTAACTCACAAGTGCATTGTATGGTCAGTGGGTTTTCGTGTATTCACGGAACTGCGCACCTGGCAACACAGTCTAAACCACAGTCCGGTTTAGAGCATTTTCTCCTCTCACGGAGGAAACCCTGTGCTCACTGGTGTCCCTCCTCACCTCGCCATGCAGATCCGCTTTCTGTCTCTGGGCTCCTGTTCCGGACACTGCATGTTCACGGGAATACGTAAGATGTGAACTTCTATGTCTGGCTTATTCGACATAGTATGTTCAAGGTTTATCCAGTCACAGCATCTGTCAGTATGTAATTCCTTTTTACGACTGGATGACATGCGATGTCCTGAACATACCTCTCTGTTTCTCCATTTCTCAGCATACGGATGCTCTAGCTGTTTTCACTTTCTGCCTATCAAGAGCAATGCCGCCATGAACATTGTGTGCAGTTCTGTGTGGGCGTAGGTTTTCATTTCTCATAGGTAGATGCAGGGAGTGGAGCTGCTGGATCAGAGGGTCACTCTTTAAGGAACTGCTGTACTGCATGGCTGCACCACGTTACACCCCTCCCAGCAGTGTGTGAGGTTACGCTCACCCCACATCCCTGATATCGCCTGATGTTTTGATTATTGACATTCTTGTGTGTGAAATTGTATCTCACTGTGGTTTTGATTTGAACTTCCCCTGTGGCTAATGACATCTCTTCTTTGGAGAAATGTTTATTCAAGTCCTTCGCCCATTTTGAATTGGATTGCCTTTTATTTGTTGATTTATAATAGTTCTTTATATGTTTTAGATTCTAGACCCTTATCAGATATATAATTTGCAAATATTTTCTCCTATCTTGTGAGTTCTTTTCACTCTCTTGATGGTACCCTTTAAAGCACAAAAGTTTTTAATTTCAGTAAAGTCCAGTTAACCTATTTTTTTCTTTTGTTGCTTTTAATTTTAATATTATATCCAGGAAGTTCTTATCTAACCCAAGGTCATGAAGATTTACTCCTATAATTTCTTTAGAGTCTTGTAGTTTTAGTTCTTACATTTAGGTCCATGGTCCACTTAAAGTTTATTTTTGTGTCTGGAAAGGAGTCCAACCTAATTATTTTTCATTTGAATATTTTACACACCACACACACACACACACACACACACACACACACACACACATACTCTTACGGTTATGAAATATTTACTCTTCACAGAAAAGCTCCATGGACAGAATGCACAGGAAGGTATCAGTTAGGACCTTGGCTACTTACACACTGCATATCTAATTCATAAGTAATGACACTAACTGTAATCAAAAAGGCCCTTCAACAAAACAAGTGTTCAAAGTGTGAGTGTTGTGGGTGTCTGAGGGTCCGAGCAGCCCTCACGGGGCGTTCCCTCGCCCCTGCACACTCTTCATTCCCTCCCCCTGGGGGTCTGCCAGGCTTCGGGCTCCTTCTTCCTACCCCCCTTGCCCGCCCCCCCCGTCCCTGACAGCTTACCCGGGGTTGTGCTCAAGCTTTCACCTTCAGTCTCACTGGAGAGTTTTTTCTCTTTTTCCATTTTGTGGCAGAGTTTTTAGATGTTTGAGACTCAGTTTTTGTAGTTGAGTAGATTTTTAATTGCTGAGTTCATGTCTTCAATAGTTATAAACTCTATTCAGCTTTCTGGGTATTTTTTTTCCTGGTATCAGTTTTTGACAAATTACAGTTTTCTAGGAACTCTTTTAGTTTGTCCAAAATTTCACACGTGTGGGTATGATGTTATTTACCACAGTTTCTCTCTTTAAAAAAAAATCTTCCTGAGTCACTAACGTTGTCTCATTTTTAATTACAGATATTTAAAATTATTATTTGTCTCTTTTGTCTCAATCAATCTTACTAAAGATTTTTGTATATTTTATTAATTTTCTTGAAGAACGTGCTCTTTGCTTTATTGATCCTCTCTATCACGTCATTATTTTCCATTTTATTTATGTATTTTTTATTTAAAAAATTTCCATCATAGTTGACATTCAGTATTTATTAGTTCCAGCTGTACATTACAGTGGTGAGACGTTTATGTGACTTACAAGCGACCCCCTGCTGAGTCTAGTGCCGCCTGCAACCATGCAGTTATTCTATTTTCTATTTTCTTCACTTCATTCTTAGCTTTGTATTTTCTTCTTTTTCCTATATCCTTTCGGCTTCCTCTATTGTTCCAACTTCTTGAGCTGGATCTTTAGCTCATTAACTTTGTCTTTGTTTTGAAATTGATGTGTGACTGCCATAGAACATTAGTGTGTATACAACATAAACATTTGATATTTGTATATATTATGAAATGACCACCATATATTATGAAATGCATGTATTATGAAATGACCAGTCTAGTTAACATCCATCACCACACATAGTCACACGATCTTTTTCTCGTTAGGAGCTTTTAAGATCTACTTAGAACTTTCAAATATACAATACAATGTTATTAACTATGGAGGCCACGCTGTCCACTGCATCCTCCTGCTTTAGCATTTTAAGCTGGAAGTTTGTACCATCTGACCCCCTTCACCCATTTCGCTGGCCCCCCGACCCCTGCCTCTGGCAGCCTCCAGTTTGCTTGTTACACCATGGCCTTGTTTGCTCTCTCTGTGAGATTCTGCAGGTAAGTCCTGGTCTCTGACTTATTCCACGTAGCATGGTGTCCTCAAGGTCCATTTGTGTTTCTGTAAGTGGCAAGATTTTATTTTTCTTAATGGCTGAATAATCCTCCATTGTGTATGTGTGTGTGTATACAGGTGTCGGTGTGTACATGTAACACGCATGTATGTCACATTCTGTCTATCCGTTCATCCGCCGAGGGACACTTAGGTTGTTTTCGAGTCATGGTTATTATAAATAATGTTGCAGTGAACATGGGGGTACACATGTCTTCTCAAGTTTGTGGTTTTGTTTTCTTTGGATAAATACCCAGAAGTGAAGTTGCTGGATCAGTCTTCTTTTTTTAATGTAAGCATTTAAGACTCTACATTTCTCTAAGAATCTTTTAATGGCATCTATAAATTTTTGGTTGAAGCATTTTCATTATTGCTGTTTCCTAATACTTTCTAAATTTCCTCATGACTTTTCTTTGGCTTCTGAGTTATTTTTTTAAGTATGTGTTTTACATTTTAAGAAAATGGAATTTTAAATACTGTCAGCTATTAATTTCTAACGTGGGTACCCTGCAGTCAGAACTTGTCTGTGTGATAAGCATTCTCTGATGTATGTTGAAATTTTCTCTATGGTCTACTAAATGTTCAGTTCTGTAAATGCTCCTGTGTACTGGAGAAGAATAATTTTATTCTATAATTTAACATATTTTTTGTTTTATAATTTGCTAAA